CTCCGTGGTGCTCGGCCTGATTATGTGTCTCACCCGAGTCTTGCCAGGTTGTCCATCTTCACCTGGTGATCCACACTCTCTGTACACTCCGGATGTGAGTCCTTAGTCACCAGGTGTAACAAATGTCCCCTCCCGTCCCGGCTCATCTTTTCACTTTCTCAAGTGTGTGCTTTGATCGGTAGAGAGGTGCAAAGGTGGCCCCGCGACACGCTCCCCACACTCTCTGCCACTTATCTGGCCTTGTCTTGCTCACATAGATTCACAACCCACGGGGATCTGATGGTGGGTGTGGCGTGGGAGGCACCACTGGCCAGCGTCACTGGTGGAAAAGACAGTCCCCCCTTATCCGAAGCAGTGCCTGGGAAACGTTCCATTAAAGGGCCAGAGAGTTAAAGGATTTTAGGCACTGCGGGCCAAGAAAAAACCAAGGATATTAATATAGGTACTTTTACAACCATTTTAAATTGCAGGGACAATTCTCAGCTTGCAGGCCACTGAAAGGCGGGCGGCGGGCGGTGGGCGGCAGGCGGCGGGTCTGGGGTGCCTGCGAGCTGTGGCTGGTTGACCACAGAATGCTACTCCTACAAAAAATTGAGGGTCTACACCATGTGCTTTTGACAAAATTTGTCATATTGTACATTTGAAGTGGGTGAATTTTGTATAAAAGTGATACCTCTATGAAGATGATTTTTAAAGGACATTAAATGCTTTTTCTGGGCTTGCTATTCTGTTCCATTTGTCCATCTGACCCTCTTTGCACTCAAACCACACCATTTTAGCTCTTGAAGTTCAGGGGTTCTCCCTGAGCCACTGCAATGTTGCTGTCAGTGACTGGAGACTGCTCTGGCTGCATGTGGGGTGGTGGGGGCGCTGCTGCCCTCTAGGGGGTGGAGGCCAGGGATGCTGTCAACACCTCAGGCAAGACGGCCCCAAACGCCAACAGCAGGGAGGTGAAGACCCTGGCTGGGTCTGCTAGTGTGTCTCGATGTCTGAGAGACCAAGTTCCCTGCGTTTCTGTTGTTCTAGGCCATTCTTGGTCTTTGCATTTTCATTTAAAAAATGTAAAGTCAGCCCTTTACGAACAAGTAGACAAAGCCCATGCTGGGACTGTGCTGAGTTTGCAGAAACCTTTGGGTAGAACTGATATCCCCACAGCATGAAACCTGCTAAGTGCTGAGCCCGGCACACCCTCTCTTTTTAAAGGGGTCTCTAATTGTTCTCAATAATATGGAAGGGTCTTGAGCAGTTTTTGGTAGGCTTACCCCTACTTACGTGATCGTTTTTCGTATCAGGTTCAATTTCACTTCTAATTACTTATTCCTGGTCCATAGAGGTATAATCACTTTCACATCCTTGTTGTCCTCACTCGATTCCAATACATTATCCACAGATTCTTCTAGATTTTCTTCATTCACCGTCATATAAGCTACAAATAATGTTGGTTCTATTTATTCTGACTGCCTCTTCCTGCCTAACCTTGGCTTGAGCCTCCGGCGTGTGATGTAGGAATGACCTTGTCCTATTTCTGAATGTCAAGGAAGGCTTTGGGTATTCCAACAGGAGACTGCAGGTTTGCTGTCTTTTTTTGTTGTTAATCCTCCCCTGAGGATATTCTCCCGTGCTGATTTTTAGAGAGAGTGAAGGCGGGGAGAGAGAAACATCCATGCGAGAGAGACACATCGAAGGGTTGCCTACCTCATGAGCCCCAGCTGGGCCTGCGATCGAACCTGCAACCCAGGTGCATGCCCTTGACTGGGAATCAAATCTGTCTAACCACTGAGCACACCGGCCAGGGCTGCGGTCGGCTTTCTGTAGACACCCTTTGTGGGATTAAGGATCCCTTCTTTTCCTCACTGGCTGAGTATTTTCTTCCCGAATGGAGGTTAAATTTTGCAGGTGGCCATGCGGTCTTCACCCTTTACTCTGTGTTGAATTGCGTGGGTTAACTTTCGTACGTTAAACCAAACTTGCACTCTTGGAACAAACCAGTACGCCCATGATTTAGTCTGTGGTTGGATTCCAGCCTATTATTTTGCTTAGGTATTTTTCCCATCTACTTCTGAGCAAGGCTGGCCTATAATGACCTTCTCTCTTGCTGTTCTTTTGAGTTTTGGCTGGTTCTGGACACAGCTCTTGCTGTCTTTGAGTAGGGCTCTTGGTGGTTTTGAAATGGCGCCTGTTTGGTTGGTGGAACAACTCTTGTTCAGCTCTCTGGGCAAGTTTACACAGGATTAATCTTTATTTTTGATCCTTACCAGGGGATACATTTTTATTGATTTTTAGAGAGAGAGGGAGAGAGAAAAACATCGATGTGAGAGAAACATGGACTGGTTGCCTCCCATTTGAGCTCCAACCTGGGACTGAACCCCACCTAGATATGTGACCTGACTGGGAATTGAACCTGTGACCTTTTGGAGTATGGGGTGACGCTGCCACCAACTAAGCCACCCGGCCAGGGCTACGTAGGATTAGTTTTAACTGTTCCTTAAGGTTTGGGTAGAATTTACCAGTGTGGGCATTTCTTTTTGATAGGATTTTAATTTAAATTTGGTTTGGAATAATAAAACAGTTCAGATTTTCTTCTCATGCTAGTTTTGGTAAGCTGTATATTTCTAGAATGTTATCCATGCCATGTATGTTTTCAAATATATTGGTGTGGATTGTGCATGATACCAACTATCTTTCCAGTGCCCGTGACATTGGCCACAGCGCCCTCTTTCGCTCCTGGTTGGGGTTGTTTGCAGGTTTTTTTCACGCAACTGGACTGGCTTAGTTGTTCATAGAGCCAGCTTTACCTACTGATTCTTCCTAGCACTTTCTCCTCTTGGTTTTACTGTTTCCTTCTTTCTACTTTGTGTTTCATTTCCTGTTCTTTTTATAACTTCTTGACATGGATGTCTAGGTTGAAGATTTCCTGCCTTGTCCCAGAACATCAGCCACTAAGTTGGAGAAGCCCTGGTTCAAGCCCACGCCCCAGGCAGCCGAGCTCCCTGACATCGCTGGGCTCGGCTGCCCCTAAGAGTAATTTCTTACTCCTCTCTGGAACATGGGTTCTCCCGGGTAGCAAAGGGGCTGTGCTCACACGGCTCAGCTTCCCCATCTGCAAGGAGGGGACAGTGACCGTGCCCATCTGTGGAGGTGTGAGGAATAGGTGAATTGATACCATGTAGAGCAGGGTCTAAGTGACGTCCTAGAAGTCACAGGGAGCTTTGGTTTTGAAGTAAGAGGAAACAGGAAGCCACGAAGGTGACGAGACTGTTACGAGGGACTGGTCGGTGGGCTGCAGACTCTGCCGCTGTCTTATGGTCACGGTTCACACACGCAGGTGTGCAGTCCCACGGTCACCCAGTCACAGGCTTACCAGGACACTCTGAGCCCGAGGCGCAGATTCCGTGTGTCCTGTTTCCAGCCCAACCTGGGGTTGGCAGTGCACTCCTACAGGGACTGTCTAGCTGCAATCACCTTCTACTTCCCTGTTCTTTAGCCCCTGCCCCCCCCACCTGGAGGGAAGGCCCACGTGGGACAGTGTCCCCAAGGCTGTCCTCAGGGCCTGCCTTGCTCACTGCCTTCTCTTCAGGGCAGGGCTTGTGATAATCACCCAGGAAAGAATGAAAAGCTAGTCATGTGTCCTGGTTTTCACCACCCACGGGTGAGGCCCTTGGGGACATGGCTGTGAGAACACATTTCGATGCTGGTTCAAGGTGCTCAAGGCATCCTTCTGGGTGGGGTCAGCTCACCATAGAAAATGCTATCACCTGAGTCACCACGTTCTCTTTTGCAACCTAAACCACCTCTACTTTGTTTAAAAACAAGACGCAAGTCTCCGTTTCCCAAAGTGGGTTCCCTAGAACACTTGTCTTGTAAGAAATTCCATGAAGGGCGCTCCTTGGCCCACAGGTTTGGGGAAACCTGCAGACTGTCCCACGGAGGTTCAGCAGGTCTGTCTAGGTTCCAGGAAAATCTATAGAAAGGATTCTGGTCAACTGGGTTTGATCCTTTACTCCTCACAGGTACTTTTCCGAAGGAGCCACGGACACGGCTGCCCAAGGTCACCTTGTAAGGCTTCACCGAGCACTTTCCTNATTGACCCTTTACTCCTCACAGATACTTTTCCGAAGGAGCCATGGACACGGCTGCCCAAGGTCACCTTGTAAGGCTTCACCGAGCACTTTCCTTTCTAACAAGCCACATGTGCAGCATCACGATGACCTGATGACCCCACGGGCCTCATGTGGACTGTGAGGGGCTTCAAGTACTTCCTCCCTCCCACTGGTTGTCCCTGCAGGCCCAGCAGCCCCCAGACCCAAGGCCAATGCTACTGCCGATCCTGGGATGGCCAGGGGACCAGGACCTGGTCCCCCTCGGATGTGTGAAACCTGACACTGAGTATTTTGTGGGTCGGCCATGGGTTGCTGGGTTAACGCGGCCATGAGAGAGACCTTTCAGGAGCGGGGGAGGGTACATTCATCCCACCCGGCCCTACAGACTCAGGCCCCGCAGGCAGGTTGGGGGAAATGAAGTCACCTGGAGGTCAGACAACACTGATGGTTTGTGTCCCTCTTGCCTTCTTCCTCCCTCCATCTGTCTTTCTCTGACTCTCTCCTTCCCCTCTGACTCAGCTGGACAGCAGCAGCTCTGGTTGTCTCGCGTGGTCGGCCACATGGCCTCCGTCTCAGTTCCCATCTGTCCAGGGCTTGGGAACCCGGCTGGTGACTACGGGCCTCAGGCGGGAGCACTATAGAACTGGCACCAGACGGAAATGCGGGCCTTCACCTGAGAAATTACTAAGACTGTCAGGATGGCACCTTAACTGGTGCATGGGGCCCTGAGCACCCTGGGGAGGTGGCCCTGCCTCAGGAAGGTGGATAGTCCGAAGGGTCCCTCTGGTCTGTGCAGCCCACTGAGGGGTCGGCCGGTCTTCGGGGCCTTTGCAGGGGTCTTGTATGGGGATCTGAGGAGGAAGGGCATGCACCGAGCCCACTGTGTGAGGTCCACCTTACCTTGTGTCTGGAGAGCGTGGACGAGGTCTGGGCTACCAGCAGCCGCACCACGGCGTCCCATCGCTCGGCGGTCTGGCGGTCCCACGCGGTCACAGTGAAGGCCACCTCCTCGGAAGGGACCCACAGCTCCCGGGTGGCAAAGACTGTCCCGTCCGCCCCGACTCTGAAGTCCATGCTGTTGGTCTCATATTGCGTCCCCTCGGTCCCCAGGCAGCTGCTGAACTTGACTGCAAAGGAGGGAGAGAAGGGTCAGGTGGTCACCCGGTTTCCTTTCAGGCAGCAGGAAATCAGTGACTGAACCGATGTTTTGATGTCAGGTACTGGGTTTTCTCTTTCCCCTGGGGAACGTGCGGAGGCCTCAGAAAGGAACTAAAAAGCCACTAAAAGTGACTGGCTTTTGTGAGATGGAAGACACAGCGGTGCTGCGCTCCACCAGGGCTCCCTGGTGTCCGGGCCATGGTGCTGGGTGTCCTCCACGCGAACACGATTCCCTTGCCTGCCGCACGCAGGCTTGGAGGCCCCTAACGGACTCTTTCCCACCCCAAATGGCCAAGTGCGGGACGGAGAACAGCAGCTCTGAGCAGAGCCTGGCCCCGCTGCGCTCTCGGGTCTGTTTCATTCTCGACACCGACGCCTGCAAACTGCCCACCAGGGTGGCGGGCCCGTGCCGGGCAGCCAGGCTTTCTCAGCGACCTGGACGCGGGGTGCAGGCAGCTTTACCCACACCGCGGCCCGCACGATGCTGGCTTCGCAAACATTAAATAGGCGCTGGGTTGCCGACCCCGCCTAATGACCCCATCGCTGGGCACTTGCCACTCTGTGGAGAGACCGCTCGGGCGCTGCGGACGCCCCGGCGGCACACGCGTCTCTACGTACGAACTTCCGCAGCTGCCACCGGGCGCCCCTAAATCATGACGCACCAACAGCCCGCATCACATTCTGCTGATAAAAGTGATGAATAAAGTTACCTCGTATTGGTAAAAATGTGGGTACCTCAGCAACTATGGTGGAGCATTGGTTGTTGAAGCAATTTCATGTCACCGCTTACATGATTTAATTACTATTTATTCTAGAAGCTAAGAAAAGCTCCTCGCGGTTACACTGATGCAGTGCTTTGCCTCCACATCACGTTTACTGTCGCCTGCTCCGAAAAGATAAATAAGGTGCCAGTCCCTCGTCTCAACACTTCACCTCCGACAGTTCCCAGTGACCCGCACCGCCCATTTGTGGGTTTAATAGAAAAATATTTTTAAATGGGATGAAACCAGGCATTTCTTCCTTGTCTGGCCCGAGAGAGCACATGTGGGGACTCCAGGGCCACACAAATGGGGTCCTCGGATGGATGACAGCAACCGAGGTGGGAGTGGCTCTGTGAAGTTTCCCCGACAAAGGAACAATGGCCTTGTTTCCTGCAACAGGACAATTCCAAACCGCGGTGAGAGCGCCGCTCCTCCCACGGCCAACAAATTAACCCGCAACAGGCAGCGAATCCGTTGGTTCCGACGCCCGAATGCCACCGACAGATAAAAACGACAGCCCCATGACTGCTGAGAGATGGGCTTGAAATGCGTAATGAAGCCCCTTCGCTCTCCAACTGCAGATTTCCAACGACACAGACGGGCTTGCCAGTGGGAGGCAGGCTCGCGTGTCTTCGGGACTCATGGCGACGCTGTGTGTTGAGACAGCGGGTGCCGGGCTGCGCTGGTGCCTGGGGCAGGCTTCAGAACACGTGGCCAGCGCGTAGCTGCCCCAGCGGGCCCCGGGCTGTCCACAGGAGCCCGGACTTCTCAGGTGATGGACGTCCTCGGTGGACCAGAGACTTGGGGACATTGAAGATGACGCCACGTACAGCCTCCCAGAAACCATGCCTGCGGGTCAGGGGAGGGCCCCATGCAGTGCACACGTGTCTGTGTGGAGTTTAAATGTTGGCGCCTTTGCTGTCTGTCTGACTCGAACCCATCCCGTCAAAGGGCCTTGTAGCCCAACTTCCAGGTTCCGTGTGGCCACGACCGGGCCGGCCTGCTCTGAGATTCCGAGCCATCCTCAAGGTGGGGTGCAGGAGGAGTTGTCACTTGGCTGTGAAGATGGGGGCCCATTCGGATCACCTGCAGGGCTGGGAGCAGCCTCCAGAAGGGGATTCAGAACAAGGTGGCTCCCGCCTTCAACAGGAAGGGTCAGGCCAGCACGTTCTTCCCCGACGCCAGGCCTCCGGGAAGCGTTAGTGCCGAGAGCGCCCTGCCTGAAGCCCTGTGGATGCGGGTCTACGTGCTCGGCACACAGACACCACTCAGAATGTCACTACCACCTGGCTCTGCCCTAAAGAGGTGACTGAGCAGGTGGAGGGCACAGCCTCGGGAGACAAGTCGTCGGTGTTAGGATGGGACGCCTTCTGTCTTCAGGAAGCCAGTTGCCTTTTTCCGACGCCAAAGGTGGTTTCCCTCTTCACTTTGGCTACTGGGACACTCAGAGGCCACTCCGTGGCCGAGGCCTTACTGACCTCAGTGCGTTCCATCCTATTTTCCATCTTTGTTTCCTCTCTAGCCCACTGTCTTCCTCTTGCTTCCTTTTTAAGAGGTTTATTTGTGGAGTCTGCTCCTGTCTCTGCGGGAGAGGCACTCTGGAGGTCCGAGGCAGGGCAGGCACAGGGAGGCACGAGGAGGGTGGCCTGGCACAGGGTTTGGCGCCCTCTCGGCCCAGCGACAGCGGACACACCAGGGTTGCCAGTCAGCAGGAGCTTTGCTGTGGTTCTGTGTTCAGCGCAGAAACTCCTGCCCCCTCCCTAAGGACTGGGCAAGGTGACGTCTCCCGAGCTTGAGGGGCCTTCAGGAACCAGCATGCGATGCCCGGCGGACACCCGGCCCAGCTAAATGCAACACGTCCCCACAGGGAAGAGCCACCAGGCTGCTGCCCCGGCACACGAGGCCGAAGTGGGCGACCCAGTAGTGACATGTTCTGTTAATAGTTTTCCTGCTGTATTTGTTTTTGGTCTAGTTTCTCTCTTTATCTTCAGGAGAAATTTAAAATCCTGTGGAATTTCTAGAAAATGTTTCCCTCAATGTAGTAGATAAAACCATCAAATACAGAAAAACTTGTATTCTGATTTAAGTTAAGAACTGCACATCTATCCTGGCTCCAGTGAGGGTGTTCCGGGACTGGCCCTGTTTCCCGTGCCCAGCACTCTGCCTGAGCTCCCACGGCAGGAACAGCCAGCGGGGAGCATCGGCCCTCGTCACAGATGAGGAACTGAGGCTCACAGACATCTCACACCTTCTGGCAGCCGGCAGGAGGCGGAGGCGGGATGGGAACCCTGGCCTGCCACTCAAGGCTGGTTCTCCTGGAGGGGGCAAGGTCACCCCTTGGATGCCTAGCAATGTGGCAGGTAGGTCTCCCGGGGGGACCTCCTGCCGCTGCTTAGAGAAGTCTGACCCTGGGGGGTACATGTCCACTCACCAAGGCCCCACGGCCATGGTGGGGAGGCTTCCTGCGGCTCTGGCCCCTCCGGGAGTGGGGACCCAGCACTAACTGTGAGGCGGAAAGTTGCTTCATGGGGAGAAGTCACCTGTGGGGATGCACAGGGAAGGTCACACCCTCCTTTCGGCTCTACTGACAGAGACCTGCTTGGAGGGGGCGCCTCCTTCCATCCTGCACCCCACGCGAGACCCCTGGTGTTTCTGCGCACAGTCCGACTGCTGCCTGCATCTCTGCTGTGTAGTAATTACTTCTATTAGTTTTAAACAAACTTGACAGAAGACAGAGGGATCATGGGAGAAATTAAAGTCAACTGTTTAAACACACACAGCGCCAGCCCTCACTGCCTCTGTCCCTGGGTGGTGCTGGCCAGGCCTCTGCGCCCAGCGCTGGGGGAGGCCAGGTGCATGGGCCTGGGGACGGGGGGCCCTGGAGGAGTGGGGGGTGAGCACCCGAGTGTCTCCTGGGCCGCATACGCCAACAGGGGTGAATGTCAGGGTGCTGTCCTTGCCGGTGTGCCGAGGGGGTGGCGTGCAGTGGAAGTACGTGGTGGGTGTGCATTGTAGCCACACCACAGGGACCAGGCTCCTTTGGGATGGGGCGCGAGCCCCAGGTCTGTGACTGACAAGCAGTGGCCTCTGAGCACCGATCCCTTTCCTGTCACATGGGAGAAGCAGCACAGACGGGCAGCACTGGCACAGGGTGGACACTGGACAGACGCCAGCCGCATCCCTCACACTCTGGCCAGTGTGCACGTCACCCATCTGAGTGAGGAGGAGGCAGGCCCAAGGCAGCAAAGGCACCAGCCCAAGGTCATACAAGGTCATTCATTCCGCAAACAAGTGTGGCCCTTGGTGCTGGCTCTGGGACCTACGTGGGAAGACAGAATGGAGGCTGGGGTGGGAGGTGACTGGGAAATGATGACTCCGATGGTCAGACCATGCAGGCTTCTATGGGGTCACCAAGAAGGGCCCCGGCCAGGCTGGGAGTCCCTGGGGGTGGGATGGGGAGCCCTGCAGGGCATGTGCGGTCAGCCAGCAGTTGAGACTCTGATGCTGCTGGGATCCTGCGAGCCAGAGGCCCCTCCACAGCCCAGGTGCAGAATCAGCAGCTCTTGGAGGGTGGACGCGGTAGCCATGCAGCGCAGGCTGTGGACAGGACAGGTTTAATTTTCAAGCCCCTGATCTGTTCGGGGAAGATGCCCCGAGAAGAGTGGCAGCTGCTCTATTCTGCGCCCACCAGCGCCTGCCCCGCTCCTGAACTACATGGGAGGCCGGGCTCTCCTCTGGCCTAGGGTCAGCTGTGGCTCAAAGGCTCTTCTGGAAGCACGAGTGGAGACTGAATGCCCAGGAAACCCTCCAGCAGGGCGCCCTGGGCAGGGCTGAGCACCAGGAAATTCAATCCCAGGATTTCACTTTACTGGCGCCTCCCCTCCCCCCACCGCTCCCTGGCGGTTGGCGAAGCGAAACAGGCTGATGGGCACTGGCTCGCAGTCCTTGGGCTGGGACACGGCGGGGCCAGGTAGAGGGCAGGGATGCACCCGGCCAGCCATCTGTCACCGGCCTGCGTCTTCCTTTGTGCCTGGTAAATGTGCGTCTCTGCCTGCCACCCTGGTGTCCCGCCCACACTCGTGCGAGGGCCTGCTTGAGTTTTAAGGGCGTTTCCGCGGCCTCCCTGCCTCAGGTGAGGCCGGTTCGGCTCCTTCCCCAGGAACTCAGCCC